GGGAATCAATCACCTCAGAGCCAGCTCTTTTCCCGGCCCCCACTGCATGCACATGGGCAGGGGGCTCAGCAGTGTTCCCTCCCTAGGCATAGTAGGGCAGCCCAAACATAAGGCCAAGGAAGGCTCATAGTTCACAGACTGAGAGCCTCTTCCACACACTCGCTCAGCCATCTTCCCCGTTTTGGCTGTGGATGCCTCAATGCCTGAGGCCCTTTCTTCATTCTTTCCACTTGGCAAAATCTACCCTATCCTCTCTAAGGGTCCTTCTTGTTCACAGTCCTCTCCTGGCATTCCTTTCTGGCACGAATTCCAGAGTCTTGTGGATGAGACACTGTAAACTGGTGAGCTCCCATGGCACAGGGACCAAGTGTGCAATAACAATCACAGAACAGACCAAATACCCTAATTGGAGGTATTTGCGCCCTGGCCTTCCAGGTTTCCCAGGCTCCGCCTATGTTTCTATGTCATCACTGTAGAAGAAGGCAGATGCTTCCCTTCTCCCCTTCCTCCAGGTTTCCTACCATTTTTTCAGGCCCCAAACCTTGCTAGAATCCACCAAGCTCACTGGCTCATAGGCAGTCAGTTTCTCTGGGGCTTATGTGTTTCCTCTCCAGGGAGGTATGAGGGCTCTTACTTGGCACTCAACCCCAAAGGAGCTGGCTGAGGCTCTCTTGCTCATCCTGGGTGATGGTTCAACATGGAAACATAGCCACATCCCATGGGGATTCTGTCTCTCCCTATACCAGCACTTACCAAACTGTATCACGGTGGAGAAGTGTGCCTGCCCTGCTTGGGTGGGAGGCTCCTAGACCCAGGGTCAGGTCTAATCCACCTCTATAAGCTCAGAGCCAAGCCCAGGGCCCCCTTTAGCAAGGGTCAGCTGAATGAAGTCTCTGACACCACAGACAGGAAAGAGCAGGCCTGGGAAATGAGTTCAATTACATCAGACTGGGATGCTCATGTAGGGAAAATAAAAAGAAAACAGCAAGAAGGTACTAAGTGAGCCATGGCGTCACACACAGGTTTTCATTCTACCCCCCATTGGCTATGACTAAAATTATAAGCAAAAAAGACACCTACACCACATCCTGGCTCCAGCTCAGAAACGATTTTGGGAAAGACAGTGCAGTGGAGTGGAAAGAACAGGGGATCTGGAAGCAGGTCCTCACTTTGAGCTCTGGTCAAAGAAACTTAGGTTCTCCAATCAGCCTCAGCAGAATTACTCTGATCTCTCAGGGTCATTGTGAGCACCAAAAATGTATGCAAAATGCTTTAAAAACAATACTAGCGCTATATAAATTTTCTCAGTAATCATAACCATGAGAAAGATAAAACAACAAAAATCTGTCAGGGGCTCCAAGCAGCCCAGGACTGTCTCAGCCTCAGGGTGGGTGTCTGGGGTGTGGAGGCGGGGGGCTGACAAAGTCAGAGGTCTCTCCCTCCTCATGCAGAAGAACCTAGCAGGGGTGTCTAATCTTTTGTCTTCCCTGGGCCACACATAAGATACACTAACACTAACAATAGCTGATGAGCTAAAAAAAAGTCTGTGCATACGTCTCCTAATGTTCAAGAAAGTCTACAAATTTGTGTTGGACCACATTCAAAGCCAACCTGGGCTGCAAGTGGCACACAGACCACGGGTTGGACAAGCTTGAAAGCATAAGCCAAATGCCATGGCCACCCACATTAGCATACATGGCTCCTCCCACAGAGTTTCCACATGCTTCCATGGTCCCGCTGAACAGAAGATTTGACACCAGGATGAAAGAGCATGGGGTTTCAGAGTGCTTCTCCTAGGAGGGAAAGATCCACCCACATACCATAGGGCTGGAAGGGAATACCTACAGGCGCAAGGTCTGGGTGTATCTGTGGTATCCACCAGGGACAAGGGAATGGAGACGGTCTTAAATTCTAAAATGCTGGGGGCAAACATGTGTGCACACATGCTGCACCTTCGCCTGAGTGGACAAGGTCGACATCAACTTTCTCTAACCAGGCAGGCAGCTTCTGGGCTCAAGGACTGTAAACAAACCCAGTCTGTTTGGGGTGCTGGGGATTCTGCTTATCCAAAATTGTGGGTCCCAGATGGCCTGGGCCACCACACACCATCACAAAGGAGCAGTTGTCAGCACGCATTTCTGAGGCAGGAACAGGCAACTCTACAGGCATCCTCACTTTAGTTCATCTGAATCAGCAGCTCTTGCTTTGCCCAAGCTGATTTGTTTACTAGCACACAAGAATACCTCCCTTGGATCATCCTGGGGAGAGGCAAGGAGGAGGCGGTGAGGAAAATGCCAGGCGGTGGTGGCAGCTGAGGGCTCAGGGAGACGAGAGAAAAGAATCACTGTGGTCACCCAAAAGTTCTTTTCTATAATACAAAGTTAACACCTCCCCGTTCCGTTCCAGCCTTTATAAACCCAGCACATCCCTAACTCCATACACATTCTTCTATTAGCAATAGCTTACACTTGTTGAGGTAGGTGACTCACACAGTTACTCATACTTAATCCCCACAACAAACTACAAAGAAACAACCCTTTTTACAGAGGAGAAAGCTAAGGCTCAGAAAGATGTAGCACCTGGCTAAAGGTCCACAGTGTAGCAAGCAACACAGCTGAACTTCCAATACCAACCACTCCAACTTCAAGGCCAAGGAGTCTGCTCCACCACACTGGGCTATCCTGAGAAACCACACAAGCAAGCTGAGCTTTTCTTTTTTTAAAAAAAATCTGAGTGATAGTTAGAAAACAGCTGGCTCCTGAGCCCAAGAGTGGCAAGAAAAGACCAAACTGAAGCCTTTATCTCAGGCACAGGAGGCAAGCCTTGAATTAGATCTCAGAAGCAAGCTGACCCACAGACAGAAACCCCGGAGGAGCTAGCAATCACCACAGGCCCCTGCCCAGGCTCCGCAGCCCTTGCCCTCAAGCAGGCGGCAACCAGTTGAGGAGGTTTGCGGATCTCTCTCTCTCAGACAGAAAAACATATGTACAACTACATAAAGTTACATGTGTCATCCCCAGACTGGAGTTCCTACGGAAAGAGCCCTGTCTGGACTTGCAGCCAGAACTGCCGGGACCCAAACCTGTCTCTAGTGCTCACTGCTGTGTGACCTTGGAGCACTCACTTAACCCCTTTGAACCTTAATTTCTTTATCTGGGGAGGCCATCCCTGCAGCAATGCCAATTTCCAGGGGTGACTAGGAAGGTGAAAATAGATGACTGACGCTGCGGCGGGGCAGGCCAAGGTGCCGCAGGCACAGCACACAGGTACTGGGGAGCTGACTTTGGAATCTGAGTGCTGAAGACTGGCCACTCTCGTCTGAAAGACAGGCAGCAAGGCCAGGCAGAAATTGCCCTTCAAATCTCTCACACACCCAGACATCTCCACAGGCTCAGCCTGCAAGGATGACGTCCAACACCTGGAGTAGATTCATTCCTCTATAACCCCTCTCCACCCAAACACACCCTCTGAAAAGGGGACCAAGTGATATTTTTGTATTTCTGTAATTTAGCATTTAAAGTTTCCTTGTATGCCAGTTGAGGTGGCTCACATCTGTAATCCCAACACTTTGGGAGGCTGAGTTGGGAGGATCACTTGAGCCCAGGAGTTTGAGACCAGCCTAGGCAACAAAGTGAGACTGTGTCTCTATAAGAAATAAAAAAAATTAGCTGGGTGTGGTGGTGCATGCCTGTAGTCCCAGCTGCTCTGGAGGCTGAGGCGGGAGGACTGCTTGAGCCCAGGAGTCTGAGGCTGCAGTGAGCTATGAGCCTGCATGACAGAGTGAGATCTAGTCTCAAAATAAATAAACAAATAAAAATTTTTTGAGACAGGGTCTTACTTTGTTGCATAGGCTGGAGTGCAGTGGTGCAACCTTGGCTCACTGCAGCCTTGGGCTCCTGGACTGAAGGGATCTTCTGCCCTCAGCCTCCTGAGCAGCTGGGACTGCAGGCGTGTGCCACCACACCCAGCTAATTTAAAAAAAAAAAAAATTTTTTTTTGAAATGGAGTTTCACTCTTGTTGCCCAGGCTGGAGTGCAGTGGCATGATCTCAGTTCACCGCAACCTCCGCCTCCCAGGTTCAAACGATTCTCCTGCCTCAGCCTCCTGAGTAGCTGGGATTATAGGCATGCACCACCACACCCAGCTAATTTTTTATTTTTAGTAGAGATGGGGTTTCTCCATGTTGGTCAGGCTTGTCTCGAACTCCTGACCTCAGGTGATCCGCCCGCCTCAGCCTCCTAAAGTGCTGGGAATACAGGTGTGAGTCACTGCGCCTGGCCTAATTTTTAAATTTTTTTGTAGAGACAGAGTCTCGCTTTGTTGCCCAGGCTGGTCTTGAACTCCTAGGCTCCAGTGATCCTCTTGCCTTGGCCTCCCAAAGTGCTGGGATTACAGGTGTGAGTCACTGTGCCCAGCCAATAAAGTACAACTTCTGGCTAGATGTCTTCTCATCAGAAAAACTTAATAAAGAAACCTGAAAACAAAAAGAGAAAACTGACTACATATAAGATGGGGAAATGGCTTTCTTTTTTGGTTGAATTCTGCAACTATCATAACCTTCAGAAATTTTAAAAGAAAGCCTTTATTTAAGGACAATCCCTTCATTTTAAGTCCCAGACATTCACAGAATGATTTTCTAAAGCTTTTTTCTCATGGTACCCTTGTAATAAAGCTGTGAGGTAGGAAAAGCAGGAATCCGCTCCATTTTACGTATATTTTACGTATATAAAAACAAAGGCCCTGCCCAGGTCCTATGTCAAGTCCCGGGACAGGTGTCCTGAGCCCAAACCAAATGCTCTTTTCAATCTAGAGGGCTCACAGGGACCACGAAGGAGATTCACAATGATCACTCTCTGCCCAGAGCAGGGGACATTTGGAATCCTGATGCTGACTTGGCTTCTGTTGGGGAAGTGTGTGCTACTCCAGGAGGCACGCATTGGTGGGGATGGAGGGAGGCAGGACAGTGGGAGAAGAGAGGAGGTGAGCCCCAGTGAGTGTACCTGCAGTGGTGGGCTCGGTCGGGCTTGATGCTGCAGCATTTGGGACACTTGTACACCACCTGCCCGGGCTTCAACTGTAAACTCTCGATGAATTCTTTAGTGGCATTTCCTTTGGGCACTGCCCCCTGTAGGAAAGATGAAAGGTGTCAGGGTTGGGCTGGGGGTTCTATTAGCTCTAACATTCTACAGTGGGGATAATTATTTGAAAGCAGCAACCACACACACACACGGACAGGACACTTTGATACCAACAACATGTGGACTCTGTGTTCAGAATTATGCCAACATTAAGGAATATTTATTGACCAAAAATTTTTCTGAGGAAATGCCATTAAGCCACATTGATTCTTTGATTTCTTCCTTTCTTTTTCTTTTTCTTTTTTTTTTTTTGAGACAGAGTCTTGCTCTGTCACCCAGGTTGGAGTGCAGTGGTGTGATCTCAGCTCACTGCAACCTCCGCCTCCCGGGTTCAAGCGATTCTCCTGCCTCAGCCTCTCAAGTACCTGGGATTACAGGCGCCAGCCACCACGCCCAGATAATTTTTTGTATTTTTAGTAGAGATGGGGTTTCACCACGTTGGTTAGGATGGTCTCAATCTCCTGACCCTGTGATCTGCCTGCCAAAGTGCTGGGATTACAGGCGCAAGCCACCGCACCCGGCCAATTCTTTGATTAATTTTCTACACTAAACAGTGACATTGTTCCTGATTACTTTATATTTTCATTTTACTGAAATTATTTTCATTGAATCCATTCTCTCCTATATAACAGTGAGGATTTGGCTCACTAACTATTTTTTGGTCTATATTAAATTTCCTGAAAACAGTTTCTCTAAGTTTCATTGGTGAGCATCATGTCTAACAGTTTCCCAAGATCAAAATTTGCAGCTTCACATTTTTTTTTTTTTTTTTTTTTTTTTTTTCTTTGAGACGGAGTCTCGCTCTGTCGCCCAGGCTGGAGTGCAGTGGCCGGATCTCAGCTCACTGCAAGCTCCGCCTGCCGGGTTCACGCCATTCTCCTGCCCCAGCCTCCCGAGTAGCTGGGACTACAGGCGCCCGCCACCTCGCCCGGCTAGTTTTTTGTATTTTTTTAGTAGAGACGGGGTTTCACTGTGTTAGCCAGGATGGTCTCGATCTCCTGACCTCGTGATCCGCCCGTCTCGGCCTCCCAAAGTGCTGGGATTACAGGCTTGAGCCACCGCGCCCGGCCAGCTTCACATTTTAATGGGTTGTTTGCTGGGATTAAGTTTTATTTTACTTTTACCAGTGGTATTGTTATGAATAATTGGTAATCTATATTTGGTTCTTAGTGAATTCACAAGCAACTGGGAGCCGCTGCCCTCAGGTATTTGACTTGCTGTCTGGCCAGAGCTGCTCTCTGATTTAGTCTTCCATCTGTGGAGTATGCTTGTGAATACTTAGTGCTCTTTAGAGCCAATGGCAGAGCCAAAATGCCATAAGATTCTGCTCTGGCTGTGCACTCATCCAAACAGAAGGAAAGCAGGAAGTGCATAGGCCTAAGTAGGGTCCTAATAACCGACCTTCACCAAGAGCCTGCTTGGTACTGAGCCCTGTGCTCTCACGCTCACTGTTATGGACTCAGGAATCAAACGAGGTCTCTGCTTCCGAGGCTTATAGTGTTTTGGAGGCTGACAAATGATTCTAGTAAAAGGGGTTACGTGCTGTGGAAGATATTTGTGTTGAGGGAGCACAGAGGAGACAGCAGCTAATTAACCAGGGGAATCAGAGGAGTTTTAAGTACTGATGTTCAAGGGTTGTCTCGAGGAATGTACAGAGGCTTGTTAGGTAGACCTGTGGGAGAAAAGGGATTCCAGCAGAGAAGGGCATGAGTAAAGGCAAAGAGGCGAGGGTGAGCATGGCATATCTGGGAGACAGGGAGAATATCAGTGTGCCGAGCCATGCGTATGCAGCGTCAGCAGGGAGGCCGGACCGATGGGCCAGGGCCAGCCCATGTGGTGCGCTGAATGCCAGGATGGGGTGGGGTTTTTCTTTATAGGTAGCCTAGAGCCATCAGGTAACAATGGTGCTTCAGGAAGAGACCTCAGTTGCCTGTGTTATGTGGATCAGATAAGAAGAGGGAGAGATGAAAATTCCAGACACCACATAGGAGGTTACTGTTGATGGTCCAGTAAGGAAAAACTGAATTACGAGGATGGAGGGGGAGAAGTAGAGACGAAATTCTGAGATCTGAATCTACAGATGATGGTAGGGAACCAACTTGTTATTGGGTGGTGGAGAGGGTAAAGAAAAGGGAGGAGATGAGCCCCAGTAAGGTTTCCATTTTTAGCAGCTGGTAAGTGGTGGCGTGCTAAAGCCATTAAGAGGGCAGAAGGAAGTTCTGAGAAGAGCTGACCAGTTCAGTTAGGGTATGCTGAGTCTGAAGTGCCTGAGGGACACCCAGGAAGGTGGCTGGGAATATCGGTCCAAGAAGTAAGAGAGAAGATCAGCCAGTAGCATAGCACAAGGGGTTAGAGCTGGCTTGGAAGTCCCCTGGCTTTGCTTTAAATCTGAGCTCTACATTTGTGAGTGGTGTGCCCACTGACAGGTGGGCCTGTCTATGCCTTAGTTTCCTAATCATTGAGGCAGGACTCATCTTATCTAATTCCCAGCATTACTGAGGTTAAACTAGACACAGACAACTTGCAGAAAGGGCTCAGATGATACTGCCACAGATAAAGTGCTCAGTATATGGTACTGTTTTCTGGGTCTGGTGTTGGCACCAATGCTGCAGCTTTAAAAAAAATACAGATGCCTAGACTCTAATGCAGCACTACTATAAAAATAAATGACCAGGGGGTATGGCCCAGACATCTGCATTTTTTACACTCCCCAGCAGAGTCTTCTACTCTATAGCCAGGGCTGAGAGCTACTGTGCTAGATCAGCAACTCCATGCTTGGGTCTACCTTGATCAGCACCAGATGCCCTGGCCTGGTACACAGTATGAACACAAAGTGAAAGGTAAAAGATCCAGCAGCTTCCAGCAAAGGGGTGAAAGAATTAGAGACGGCAGGGAGCCAAGGATGTGCCATCCTGGGAACTCTGCCTGCTTGGCCGAGCTCCCAAACAAGAACCACACTTGACACAAGGTCAAGTCACAGCTATGGCATTGGACTGGGGCCCTCACTCTTCCTGCCTTGGCCCCTGTGTCAAGTCTACTTCACAGAAAACTCCACTCCTCAGTGGGCACCCATGAGATACCACAATCAGGGAAGTCAGTGCAACATCAGAAGAACAGAAACTAAGACTGTCCCCACATCCTGCATGGGCCCAGAGTGAGGTGGGCAAATTCAGATAGAGCACTCCTGGTTTCCCCAGAGTGGGACTGATGGATTATAACAGGCCAAATGAGGGGTTCCCAGGGTAGAAGTGATGAAGACTGGGTGTCAGAACCTTTCCTATAAAAGAATTCTGGAAAGGGAAGAACCACTGAAGAAATGGAAAAATCTTTAAGTGCTGGAAATGCAAGGGAGCTGTGGTTCTGTCTTTTACTAAGAAAATGACTTACAGTGGATTAAGATTCCAGCTAAGAAAACTGCAGAGATAAATCAACCAACAACTCTCTCCTGAAGGTCTACACCACGCCGAACACTGTGGGAAGTACAAAGAAGCGATGGGAGCCCAGGCCTCAAACAGCTGGTGGGTAGACAGGTGCAGACGCAGTGAGGCTGCTGAGGCTGAGCACCTAGTGAAAGGCATGGCCACCAATGCATCAGGAGCTAAGGGGAGGCAGGACTGAGAGAGGGGATCCTAGAAAGGCCAGGAGGATCCTGGTGGATACTAAGCAGGAGAGGGGCACCTGGGAGGAAAATCAGTTCAAGCACAGACCCAGAGGTGGGCCTACAGATCTCCTGTCATCTCTGCTCTTCACGTGGCTCTTTCCTGGGTCCCAGCCCTTCCCCTGCTAGGCCTCTACTTCTCCTGCCTCATGAGGACCTATTCACTCCTGAGATGGGCAGCACTTGGCTGACCTGTCATTCAGAGCAATGACACGCTTCCCCACTGAGGATGAGGAGCCAAAGGCTCACAAGGAGCAGGAGACAAGGAGGCGATGAGAAAGCTCGAAGGACCACTTGTCCACATGCAAGCGCACCTCAGTGCTGTACGCTCAGACTGACAGTGGGGTGGAGATGAGGTCCTCTATACTCTGTCAACTCTCTAAAGTGTTTCATTACTTTTTTTTTAAGTTAAAAAAAGTAGAAAAAAAATCTGGTCTGCACAATGTAGTCAGATGTCAGAAAAGCCTATGACAGAAAGTTTAAAAGTAAACACATTTTGGAGGGCAAAGACCACATGGTATAGTTTTGGACATTAAATATGCCATAAAAATACACAACTATTGACACAGGAAACATCTATAACAGATTATATATATATACATACATACATATGAATAAGAAAAAAGAAAAAAAATGTGTGGTGGTACATGTTTGTAATCCTAGCTACTTGGGAGGCCAAGGTGGGAGGATAACTTGAGGCCAAGCGTTTGAGAACAGCCTGGGCAACACAGTGAGACCCTATGTAGGAGGATCACAGGTACTTTTAATTTTCTTGACTATATTTATTAAATGTTCTATTAGAAATATGTGGCTTTTGCAAAAAGGAAATAATCCATTAAAAACAAGCAAAAACAAAAACAACCTTAAGGAGGAGCCATCCAAAGTAGGAATATGATCAACTTTCCTGAGGCTTGTAACCAAAATGTCATTATTGTCTCACCTTGAAACATCCAACGGGCCACCAGTGAGGCACTGGTGAGGCGCCAGGGTCTGGAAGGTTTCATGAAGGCGAGGCAGAGCCCAGACCACATGGCATGAGTGGATTTCCAAGAGGGCCTGGGAAAGGCACTAGTCCAGGCAGAGGACAGGGTCTCAAGCCCAAAAGGCCTTATTTTTTGTTCTCTTTTCTTTCTTTTTTTTTTTTTTGAAAAGGGTCTTGCTCTGTTGTCCAGGCTGGAGTGCAGTGGCATAATCTCGGCTCACTGCAGCTCTGACCTTCCAGGCTCAGGTGATCCTCCCACCTCAGCCTCCCAAGTAGCTGGAACTACTGGCATGAGCCACCATGTCCAGCTAATTAAAAAAAAAATTTTTTTAGAGACAGGGTTTCAC